CTCTGCTGCAGTCACGGATGAGGTCACTGAGGCCGCTACAAGCGAAGAAGGTACGACAGCAGCTCCCGGAGCGACGAGTACGACTGGTTCTGAAGCTACTGTCGATGCCACAGTAGCGGCCAGTACAGCTGCGGTGACCGATGAGGTGGCTGTCACTACTGCACCTCCTGTGACTGGCGAAGTGACCATCAGCACGGCAGCTGGGGAAGCTCCCGGTAGAGACAAGGATGACTCTGATGCTACCACCAAGGTCGCTACGGAGGCTGCAACTGTCACGACTACGATCGGTGCTCCTGTTGAGCCTACTACTACTATAACGTCCCCTTTCCCGGTCAGCACAGCTGCTGTGACCGATGAGGTGGCTGTCACTACTGCACCTCCTGTGACTGGCGAGGTCACCATCACCACGGCAGCTGGGGAGGCTCCCGGTAGAGACAAGGATGACTCTGATGCTACCACCCAGGTCGCTACGGAGGTTGCGACTGTCACGACTACGATCGGTGCTCCTGTTGAGCCTACTACTACTACTATAACGTCCCCTTTCCCGGTCAGCACAGCTGCTGTGACCGATGAGGTGGCTGTCACTACTGCAGCTCCTGTGACTGGCGAAGTGACCATCAGCACGGCAGCTGGGGAGGCTCCCGGTAGAGACAAGGATGACTCTGATGCTACCACCCAGGTCGCTACGGAGGTTGCGACTGTCACGACTACGATCGGTGCTCCTGTTGAGCCTACTACTACTATAACGTCCTCTTTCCCGGTCAGTACAGCTGCTGTGACCGATGAGGTGGCTGTCACTACTGCACCTCCTGTGACTAGCGAAGTGACCATCAGCACGGCAGCTGGGGAAGCTCCCGGTAGAGACAAGGATGACTCTGATGCTACCACCCCGGTCGCTACTGAGACTGCGACTGCCACTACGATCGATGCTCCTGTTGAGCCTACTACTACTATCACGACCCCTCAACCGGCCAGCACAGCTGCTGTGACCGATGAGGTTGTTGCTACTACTGCAGCCCCTGTGACTGACGAGGTCACCATCACGACGGCAGCCGGGGAAGCTCCCAGTAGAGACAAGGATGATTCTGATGCCACCAACCCGGTCGCTACTGAGACTGCGGCTGTCACTACTACGATCGATGCTCCTGTTGAGCCTACTACTCCCACGTCCCCTCTACCGGTCAGCACAGCTGCTGTGACCGATGAGGTTGTTGCTACTACTGTGGAGACAACCGATTCCGAGACTACTCTCAGTCCGATTGTGTAGCCGATCTAGGTTAATGAAGCTTTGTAATGCCCGGTGAGCGCATTTGATACAATCCGGGCCACTGCATGATGTCTTGATAATGTGTATAAGTGTTCATCTGTCCAAGTTGTGTTGGAGACGTTGCGTCGTAACATCACGAAGGCATCGACGTTATACCCCAATACGAAACCTATTGACAGTGCATCAGAGATATCTGAGTGGTTCCGAGATTGATGAGCGAGGGCGGGCAAGCCGCACCACAATGATTCTCTTACCAACTAGCATGAGCCCATGTTGGTTCTCCAGTGTCTGAATTCCGATTGCTGATATGCTGACAATTCTGTTGATTGTGAGTTCAAATGCAAAGGTTAGATATCCTAGAATCTCTGATGTATCCTTGACAGCTCAATGTGTTCTTATCAAGCTTCACATGTGTGACATCGACCAAAATCAGGGTAGGTGCAATCGGAGGGCAAGCTTGTTACTCGCGTAGCTGGATTATAGGGATAAATCCAACTGTGGTGCTGTGTAGATGGTCAGCCGCCCAGCCAATAAGGTTTATTCAGCTGAGTAATTATTCTGAGATTATGCCT